ACCCAGCCTGGGCCAAAAACTGCAAAAAAAAAAAAAAAATCAAGTGAAGAAACGTCCTCTCTTCCCACACTGACTGAACCTAAATGTACCCTGTACCCCCAGAAGCATCTTTTAAAATCTGAGGCATATATAACTACCGGATAAGCATGAATCCATCTTTCTGACTTTAATTAGTGGCAAGTTAAAATGATATTTTTATGTCACAAACACGTATTATCAAGTTGAATGTAAAATTATGCATGATTTTTAAAGCAAAGTATTGGACTTCAGTTATTGCAATTGTACGGCAGCAGTATAGATTCTCTTCCCAGAAACCACCACCCAGATAGGGGTTAACTGACAGGCTCTGTTGGAGGAGATGGTTAAGCAGCATTTGTACATCGGCTAGCACTTGGAAAAACTATAAACCATGATGAAAATGTGAAATGTTTTTGTTATAGCAGTTAACATACATGCAGTTTATGACACAACATCATTAAGAAACTTACCCTTGTTCCCTTTTTCTCTTTACAGTGTACTTCCTCCCCACCATGTCACCTGTGCAAGACACCTGTCACCCAGGACCCCCTTGAGCTTGTCCTAATTGTCCTCCCAGATGTGTCCTTTATGGAAAGTATTCCAGTCTATTTCTTTCAGAAACACCAAGACTTTCTTGGTGGTTGCACCCTTCCCTTTCTGAGTGCCCACTGCTTTCTAAAGACAGCAAAAATGAATTAACCTGTGCTCCTGTGTTAGCAGAGATTAGTAAATTGATGTCTTAACTCATGTGTAATGTACTTGAATTTTAGAAATTCTGCTGGCATTAATCAAAAGAATGGTTTTAATAGACAGAGTAGCCCAGCTCTGTGGCTACCCAGGTGATAAGACCATTTTAGAAAGTCGGGTCTCCTGCACAGGCAAAGGGCCAGGTCTTGAGGTACTCTAAACCTCAAATTCTCAAACACACATTTCTATAAAGTACCTGTGAGATGTTGCCATAAAAACGATGTTCTTATATTAATATCAGAGAACTCATTCTTACCTCATACCAGGTCACCTCTGGACTTTGTACACCACTCTGGCAGCTGAGACTGGGGCAATGAATGGAGCTAATGCTACCGAGAAGTAGGTATTGCTCATGTAATACTGAGTTATCACAGGATGCATTTTTCTGAAGCTTAACTTCTAAGACTGTCTTGACACAACAGGCCACATCCTGAGGGCTCCTAAAAGATTAACAAGGTCTTGTGAACATAAATATTTTATCTACATAATAAAGGATTTGGAAATGTTTTCAAATAGGAATGCATTTGGAACGTACCTGTTCCTGGGTCTACAAACATATGACCCAGAAATATTCATATCTCGGGTCGAAAAATGAAGGCTATTCTTCTCCTGACGGATGTGAGGAGAGCTTTCTGTAATGTCCTGTAAATAGTCTCCATTCTGAAGTTGTAGGGACCACTGGACATCAGATAGGTCCTTACTACCCCCACAGGGCAGGTGTTCAGAGGTTTGTGCTGGTAAGCATTGCCTTTCGGGACAGAAATGTGATTTCTGTAGCTCTGGCAAATCACAAAATAAGATAAACTCCTCCTCTTCACTCTTCGAAGGAATCCAAAGGAGATTTTTGGTGTAACACTCTGAAAATCCCAATAAACAAAACAACATAGAAACACATTAGATGAAACTCTAACTTATATTTACAAATAGTACTTGATTTGGCAAGAGATAAAGCTTCCACTTGTATGTCTTTCTTCTTCACTGTTGCCCCTTCATCAGGGAAAGGAAGTGCCTGTTCTGTATTTCTGGTCCCCAAACCCTTGCTCCAGACACAGTTCATGGACTATTAGGAAGCAGGCCATGCAGCCAGAGGTGAGCTGCAGGCAGGTGAGTGAAGCTGCATCTGTATTTACAGCCACTCACATCGCCACCTGAGCTCCACTTCCTATCAGATCAGTGATGGCATTAGATTCACACAGGAGCAAGAACTCTCCTGTAAACTGCCCATGTGAAGGATCTAGGTTGCACTTTCCCTATGAGAATCTAATAGCCTATGATCTGAGGTGGAGCTGAGGTGTTGATGCTGGAAATGTCCAGTTGCAGGAAAAAAAGCCAGAGCTCCCACTGATTTTGCATTATGCTGAGTTGTTCAGTTATTTCATTATATATTACAACATAATAATAACAGATATGAAATACACAATATATGGATCAGGCTTGAATTATCCTGAAACCATCCTTCACCCTACCATCCATGGCAAAAAATTGTCTTCCATGAAAGCAGTCCCTGGTGCCAAAAAGGCTTGGGGCCACTGTTCTAATTCCCTGCAGTGGACTTCAGCATCACCAGTAGCAGGCCTGGTTTCCTGTGAAAGCTGGCTGGACCATTGCTGATCTCTTTAGCTGCTCTCACTTAACGCTCAGCTACAGTAACTGAATCATCTCCATCAATGTCTGGTATCAGCTGAAGGCTGTGCTCCCCAGTCTTGCTCCTCCTACTCCCTTTGTAACAATAGAAAGGAAATTAACTGTACGTTAATAGGTCATGCTACTCATGTTTCCAATTATCTGTCACTTTAAGCTTTGACCACAGGACTCACAGCATTAACATGAAAAGTAGAAACCCTTACCTGAACTATTAAATCGTTCCATCCTCTCTCCTGTGACAAGCCAAAGAAATAACCAGGCCAAATAAAGCATTGTTCTCCCCATTCCTGTCATCACTTCAGTAATTTACACATTTAGGCCAGAGTAGGGTATAATGAGATTCAGAGCTCCACCCCAAGGATCTCTTCATTTCTGTAAATCAAGAAACAGGAAATGGAGAAACTGGAACCAGTGACCAAATACAAGTCACACAGGAAGCTTTGAAAGGGCAGGTCCTACCAAAATGTGCCTTCACATACCCATAATTTGTGTGGGTATTTCCAATGGTGTGCAGCAATATTTTCTCCAGTGTTACCTCTAATACATTCAATGGAGGAAAATCATCTCAAGTTCATGGTATCTCTTAGACCTATGTACCATACAGTGTGTTTTTTAAGAGCATTTTTCCCCCTGTGGAATCTTTTTTTTTAAAAAAAGAGTCTCACATAGTATGTACATTTCTATGCATAACTTGGGAAAAAGTTTAAGTTTTCCTAAAAAGGTGACCCAGGCTGAACAAAAATGGCAGATTCTTCACTGTTAGGGAAGCTGGAGATGTAACCCCTATCTGCAAAATCTGAGAATGTCTGCATATGACTATATGTTTATATTAATTGTTGGAGAATAGAGGAAGCCTGACTCTCCCTGCCCCAAATAAAGAAAAAGTTGCCCCTGGATGGCATTGCTACCAATATTCACACATAGAATAGAGAAAGAGAATCAGAGCTGTGTCCATGTGCTTTTTGTCCCCTTTGTTGATAGGATGGTCACAGTGATTTTCAAACTGCTTCAAAGACATGAGACATGAGAAGCCTGGGTGGATAATATTTGATTATTATTTCATTTTTTCAGGCAGAAAACAAAAGTATTGAGTTACAGAATAGAGTTGTCTGTGTCTCTTAGAGTTCTGAACTAGTATCAGTAACATAAAAATAACCTAGGTATAACCCCTAGGATCATAGTAAGTGCCCCCTGAACTTTGGCTAAAATTCCCCCCCTGTTTCCCCAAACATTCTCACACTGTCATAGGCTCTTTAAAGAAGGTGGGGAGCCAAAAAATTGGTACAGTCCCTGCCCTTAGGGGTCTATAACAGTATGAAGAATACAGTAAAAGAAACTATTCTGACACTCATTAAGAAAATAAGGAGACTTGATTCAAAACTACTGCAATAGGGGAAAGAGAGCAAGTTCACTTCTCAACCCAACAGGACAAGTGGGAATTTATAGTTAAGAAGAGTGGGGCTAATAGATGGAAAATCACAAAGACACATCAAGGAAATACGAGCCCTTTCTAAACTGATTCAACAGAATTCTTGCATAAAACAGAGTTAAGGGGGCGATGCCTGTGGCTCAAAGTAGTAGGGTGCCAGCCCCATATACTGGAGGTTGTGGGTTCAAACCAGCTCTGGCCAAAAAACAACAGGATGAAGGACTTAGATATCAAGGGTGTGGATAAGGACGTTGATAGAAATCAAGGGTGATCAGATATCAAGGGTGGGTAATAACTTAGCAGGATATTTTGCTAAGACTGGGGTTGGCAGGCCAAAGATAGGGCCAGTGCCAAGGTTGAGGCCTAATGAAGAAGAAGGATCAGGTGAGCTGACTAAAATTTGGCCACTGAAAAGGTCTTTGCCAATGTAGATATACAGATGAATAATTACAGCAAGACATAATAAAGAGACAAGGTACAGTGATGACAGGAAAAATATAAAGAGGGAAAAAGAAAGAACAAAAGAGTAGAAGGGAGGAAGGGAAGGAGAGAGAGAAGGAAAGGAAAGGAGGAAGAGAGGAAGGTGGAGAGAGAGGGAAGGAGGCAAAGTTACATTAATATCACATGGTGACTATAAAAGTTCCCATTAAAATTGTCTCCTCAAAATAGTCTTAGTTTTTTTTTAAGCCATTGACAAAATTGTTCTCTATCTCTTTCTCTCCTCTGCATCTACTCAGCCATGGAAGATGGCTCACTTCACTCCTTCCTGTGCTCTCTGGCCATTCTTATAGCTACTTCACCCCCACCCAACTTTCTCAGGACCTTTATATCCCAGGTAGCTCTACCTGTTCCCATAAAGACATACTTAGCTTTTCTCACTTTATAAAATTCTTCATCTGTTTGGCAGCACCTGTGGCTCAGTGAGTAGGGCGCTGGCCCCATATACTGAGAGTGGTGGGTTCAAACCCAACCCCAGCCAAACTGCAACAAAAAAATAGCCGGGCATTGTGGCAGATGCCTGTACTCCCAGCTACTCTGGAGGCTGAGGCAAGAGAATCACCTAAGCCCAAGAACTGGAGGTTGCTGTGAGCTGTGATGCCATAGCACTCTACCGAGGACGAAAAAGTGAGAAAAAAAAAAAAGTGGAAAAAAAAGATTCTTCATCTCTAACCATTTTCCAACACAAATACACACCTTGTCACCATCATCTTTAGGACAGGGGAATTAAATTTAATTGTTGTAAATAAATTATTAATTATATCTGTCTCTAACAGAAACATCCAGTTTGAGGTGTCTTAGGGATGGAACCAGAGCTACCCAGCTCTGTACCCAGCAGCTATGTGAGTGGGGTGGTTCTCAGAGTGAGATCTGGGTGTCAGCACCATGAGGAGGGAGTCTGCAGACACAGAGGAAGGGCTGGGACTGGATCCTGGGAGGAACCAACTTTTAAGAGAGAGTCAAGGCCAAGGGTAAGGAACCTAAAAGGAAGGTGAGCAGCAGAGCTGCTTTGTCACTCAGGACAGAGAAAATCTGGTAGAGATGAGCCCTCACCGTCACCTGCTACTGCGGAGTCTGGCCCCAGAAGGACAGAGCAATGTCCACAGACTCTGGGCCCTGAGACATGAGCCAGTGCAGTGGTGCAAGATGATACAAGCCCCAGAATGAGGACAGCAGGGGAGGGAATGGGCCCCGTTTGGGGCAGGCAAGTGGCAGCTATCACCCCTCTGTTGAAGATGACAGCACTTCGGGCAAGATTTCCCAGAAAGAGGAATGAGTCAGACAGCCAGGGGTCAAACACAAGTGAGAGAGGAGGGCAGCTGGAGGAGGGGAATCTGGGACAGCAGGTGGAGCAGGCAGGGCGAGCTCTGCCCAGACCCCATCGGCTGCTGGGGGTGCAAGTGGGGGAATGGGGCTTCGGGAGAAGTGCCCTGAAGAGCTCCAGGGACAAGGCTAGGGTCACTGTATTTTTTGTCCCCACTGTTGAAAACTGACTATTCATACAAGGACTGCAGTCAAGGAGGCAGGCTGGATGAGCATCTACCAAGTGCCATCTCCCCACTTGCCTTTCCCTTACTCACTAGGCCCCAGAAAGAAAATCTCCAGCTTGAGCCACCTGAGACATCTTCCTAAAAAGCAAATGTGAGCAGCCCATTTCCATCTCAAAATTTCACAGACTTCCAACACACATGAGAAAAAGAGCTGATTCCAAAGCACCACATACAAAACCCTCTAGGATCTGGCTCTCTTTATCCCTGATTTCTTCCTCAGAGAGATCTTCCCTGACCAGACTACCTGAATAAGGAAGCCAGCCCCTCCCTCACGCCTCACCAGAAACCATCTCTCCAGCTATTCATTTTATATTACTTATGTCATTGCACATATTATGGTAAAAAATACCTTATTTGTAAAACTTCTCCCCCAGCTGAAATAGAAATTCCATGCTGGCAGTAACCAAATCTGTTTTTCTGGGTTCTGCATCCTCTGTGCAGGACTAGAACTTTAACCAATAACAGGAGTTCAGTAACTACTCTTTCAGAATTCAGCCCCATGGCAGGAGAATTGTTGTTTCATATACCTTGTTCTCCCACTAGGTTAGGAATTCCTTAAAAATCGGGATCCTCTTGCACAAGTCAGATCTCTGACCTGAGGACAATGGCTAATGCATAGAGTAATCAGTTCTGTGGTCTGAATACATGAAAAGCATTTTAGGAGGATTCAGAACAAATGTTTATCACTCTATCATGACATATCACATGTGCTGTGTGACTCCACTTAAGTCATTCAGCCTCTCTCTACACTTTACTTTTATCTGCAAAATAACTTATTTGAATAGTTTTAGAAATTCCTTCCCCTTTTGAGGGATGGCTTAGAATTTTTGGCACTTAAACTGGGAAGTCTATTTTGTAAAAAGTACTCTGACTTGTAAACCACAGGACTAGATGATTGCTAAAACCATCCCGGCTCTACTATCCATGTCTGGATGTCCAAGTCTGTAGCAAATTGGTTACCATGACACTAAGCAGTCTCATGCCCTCAAAATTGCCATCAAACCTTGAGATGACAGACAATCCCTAGTGATGCACCCACCTGCTGACCTTGTACCTTATGCCCCCTATGCCTGATTCCAGCTTGCAGATTTGGCCCTGGGACAGTGTTTCTCAAATTATCTTGATTCTAAGAATCACCTAAAATACTTGTCACAAATGCAGATTTCTGAACTCACCAAGGATTTATTAAATCAGATTCTCACAGGGGAGAACAATGGAATCTTCATTATAAACAAGTGGCAGTGCAATCATTATAATCCAAAAGATATTATCTTTGGGAAGCCTTGTTCAGGCACAAGCATAGAACTTGGAGAAGTGGATCAGCACTGAGTTCTGGTAGCTGTGGCCAACAGTGTTGCACATGGAAAAGCCCAATCTAGAAATCCCATTAGTATGGGATAGCACACCTACCTATACCTTGTGGCTTGTTTGTCAACACCTACCTTCTTAAGACCATCTAATGTCTGGGTGACGCCTTTAACTCCACCATCACCAAAAGGCTTCAGTGAATCATAAGGATTTGAGAGTACGATTTGGGGGAACTTCAATCAACCAAGACTGCAAACTCTTCCATAGAAGTAAGATCATACTAATTTACTTTCCATAAAGTGAGAAGGAGTGTCACTCTTCTTGTTTTACAGATGGACAACCAAAGCTCACATTGCTTGAAATAATGATTCCAATTCTTAATGATAACCAGCAGCCTATTAGGATTTAGCAGAGAGACTGCTCTCTAGGGATAGAGGGCCTCAAAGCTTCTGATATTCCCATTACCACATTGTGTCCTTTACAAAAGG